CGCTGCGGCGGGAGCGGGGCCGGGGCTGTGGGACCGAGCGCTGCCCGTGCCCGCTCGCGGGGCGCTGCCGCCTCTCCCCCGCGGGCTGCGGGTCCCGGCCGGATCGGGGTTGGGACCGGGCTGGCACCGGGCACGGCCCAGCCTGGCCTCGATGCCCTCCCGCTCCGCTGGCGGGACGAGGCGGGCCGCAAGCGGCTGCTGGAGCTCCCAGCCGGAGCCGGGATGGGGCGCTCGCCCCCTGCCGGGGTCTGCCGGGGGTTCCCGGGCTGTGTTTCCTCTCCCCCGTCGGGAGGCTCGGGGCCGTATCGGGCTAGGATCCGTGTCTGTACCGGGATCGGTTCCGGATTGGGATCGGTACCGAGATCGGCATCGGTTCCGGATCGGGCCCGGGACCCCGCCGGGCCCGGGAGTTTCCACAGCAGCTGTTCCCTGCCCCCGGTAAGGAGCAGCTCAGCTGCCAGCTGAGATCCCATCCCCTCCCTCAATGTCCCCGCGCGTCTCGGTCTCCAGTGGCAAAACTGCCGCTTTTAAAAACCCCGTTGAAATATTTAATCTTTATTTCCAGTCGGGGAAGGTCCTGCCTGGGATGGAAATGGCTAAAAAAAGAGGAAACAAAAAATGCCAAAAGCCTCGGGGTGGCCAAGGTTTGTTTTATTGTCACGCCTGAGCCCTCTGCTGATGGCCAGTGCCACCCTCACTTCCCCCCAGGGACCCCCAGGATAGTGCCAGAGTTGGATCTTTGGGGCCCCGATCCCCTCACAGCATTAAAGGGCTCCATCCTGGAGACTTCTTACAGGGGAGCAGAATTGCACATGGAACTTCGGTGACCATTGAGAAATGAGAGACCTGTGATAAAAACCCTTTTTAAAAGGATAAGATCAACAATTTCTCTACAGCAGTTGAGCAGCTCCGATATCCGTGTGACACAGCCTCCAATTCCCTCTCCAGATTTCAGCTTGCCAAAAGGACTGGTGGCCTGACATTTCCCCCCCAAAATATTAATTGTACTTCACAGAGCAGCCCAAGTTTCATCACAAAATTATCCTGACGCGTTTACCACTGACAACCTCCTTTTCACCTCAAAATGTTCATTCAGCCCATTACAAATTACCTCATGTTTTACCCTCAAATTGTTAATCTGTTAATTACCTCTATCCTATCCCAATTATTCATTCTATCCACTGCAGATTACCTCGGGATTTCCCCTGAAATTTTCCCTACAGATTTCCCTACCTGTCCAGAACTTTTAACCTCATATTTACCTCCAAATGCTGTTTTCTCTCCTCTACACATCACCTCAATTTTACCCCTAAAATTTCCTGTCTGTCCACTGCTGATTCCATCTGTTTACCTCAAAATGTTCATTCTTCCCCTTACAGATTAACTAAAGATTCACTCACAGTATTCTCCCTATCTGTCCACTATTGATTACTTCATTTTTACCTCAGAATCGTTCATTCTCTGCCCTAAAGGTTATTTCAAGTTTTACCCCCCCAAAATTTCCCCTGTCTGTTCCCTACTGACTCCCTGGGTTTACCTTGAATTCCATTGCAACCCTGCCAGCTCTGGCTGGAGTGGTTTGGGGAGTGGCAGGACAACATCCCCCTTTATGTGTGGGGAAATATAAGACAATAAAATGCAATTTCACTTCCTTCTCTGACCCGTAAGCAAAGCGTGTACAACAACACAGACTATTTGTGCAAGGCCTGATTCAGTGGGGGGGGAAAAAGTAACCTAAACAAATAAAACCACCCCATACCTGAAGGTAAAAACATGCTGTTTCCCTAACAGGAGCACACAAAATTAATTTAAACCAGAAAGGAAGTGACAAACCAGAGAAAGAGCCAAAGGAAGTGCTCTCCCTTGATACACCCTGCAGTTGCTAACTCCAAAGAAACTTCCCCAACGGATCAAAACCAAAGGTCCTGGCAGAGCTGGGTCCAATTAAATGATTTTTTTCCTGTCCTGAAAGAGAGAAGAAAAGGAAAATTAAGTCTGCTGTGCGAGTCAAAAGCTCCTGGCTTTCACATATTTGTTCTCAGTGCTTATTATAGAGCTTTTCATTTAAAAAGGGAGAGGTGGCAGCTGTATCCAATATACAAGTGCCTTTCTCCAGGTTTTTTATTGGATGGAGCAGTGAGGAACAAGCCCTGAACGGACAGCACAGGACAAACACTTGCAGAACAAACACCAAGCAGCAGCCCCTGTGCTTGGCAGGGGCCTGGGGCATCTAATTCCAGGTAACAACACAATAAAATGGCTTGTTTGACCAATTTTAATTCGTCTGTTATCTCCTGTCCGCTTAATAAATAATTCGTTTTGTGAACAGACCTGATCTGCCATCCTCAGAACTCGTGGGCCAGAGTGATTTCCTAAATTTTAAGTGCTGACAAAAATCGGAGAGGAGACTAAGGCAGGGCTCTCCTGAGGCTGCCACTCATCCTGCAGCAGAGCCCCAGGACGTCTGGGCACTGCAATTCACAGCCCCAGGCAGCCCTGCAGGCAGAGCCAAGCGGTTTTCCTCTTGCCAGAGAGGAAAAGACACGGCAGGGGGGGCTGTGGGGGAAGCTGCCCACCCCTAGAGCTTCCCCACGCGTGCTTGACACTGCCATGTGCGCTTCCAGCACTTTCCAAGCTTTTCCCTACAGCTCCACTGCAGCTGAGCCTGATGGAAAACACCTGGCAGCAATTCATGTGAATCCAGGAGTGCCAGCGCCTCACCTGTGTGTTGTCTCAGCAGGTACAGCTCCGTGGCAGGCCCTTGGCTGAAATAAAGACATTTATAATGCGTTATTTTACGCTATTTTCTGAGAGAGTTATGTTTTCCTGGCATTGTTTCAGTGCCCTTGAACCCGGTTCTGCTCCCTGTTGTGCTCTCAGTCCTAAAGAAAAGCTTGGATATCATTTGTGGTGCAGCTCTGATTGATGAAGTTACTGCTGCAAACAGACAGAAATCAGTGCTTGGAGAAATTAGCACAGAAAAAACCTGCGTGCTTCCCAGTCCCTGCCCAACACATCCCAGTTCTCTATTGGGAGCCTAAGTCCTGTTCTTAGCATAGAAACTCCACTATGTCGTATACTTATGTTTTAGAGAAGAGCTTTGCAGGGCAATTGCCTCTCCCAGCACCAGTCCCACAGGAAATGCCACCTAAACCTTAAACGACACGAAATTAGCAATATGCATTAATTCTACACGAAAAAGACCAGTAAACAACCGATTCAGAAAATATTCCCCTCATAATGTGCACGAGTAGAGGCTCTGGGATGCCAAGGCAAACTCATAGAGAGATCAAGAGATTCTCATCCTTGCTATGGCTTCGCTTGGGGTCACCGAGTACCCGCGCCGCAGCACATCCCGCACTGAAACATCGCTCCCATTCCCATACATCACAAATAGATACATTAAAGCGGATTTTTACCTCACCGAAGCAGGACACGGCAGCGCCAAACCAGGAAATCCAAAAGGCCGCCTCAGGCACCGGCTCTTATATACCTTTGGTCGGCTCGGGATTGGCTGGCGCCGTGAGGCGATCGCAGCGCTGATTGGGCAGCGGGAGGCGAGCCTCGCTGCCGCCGCGCCCGCTCCCTTTCCCGCCTGCCGCGGGCACCGTGTGAGGGGAGCGCCGGCGCCTGTCCCAAATCCCAGCAAAACCCCCTTTTCCTCTCTCTTATGGCACAGCCACGCACTGACTCGGTTTCCTAAATCGGATATGGAGTGAGTGAAAGTGTTGGCACGTGGCAGAAATGTTCCTCGTGGGCCTAAAGTCTGAGTTGTTCAAATGGATGTTCTGGGGAGAAAATGGGTTAAGCAACGGACAGACAGGGAAAATTTTCGGAGCAAATTTGAGGCAGGCTGTAGTGCGGAAAATTAACGTTTTGAGGTAAACTAAGTAGCGCACATGTAGGTAAAGCTTTGAGGATAAAATTTAGGTAATGTCTAGGGAAAAGAATGATAATTTTGAGACAGTGAACAGCAGGGAATGTCATCATGTGGAAGTCAACCCCATTTACCTGAAGGAGCACTGCCCTGGGGAATGGCTCTACCTGGGATTTGGCTCCTGAAGGGCCTTACAGAATAAGCCATGGTGCTTTGTGATCCTGTGCACAAATCCCATTCCTCACCTTTCCTCCAGTGTCACTCTTGTCCCTGCTGAGGTTTGATCCACTGGGCTCTAAGTGTTTTCTCTCCTGCTCATAGTGAAATTTCAGTCTTTTTGGGTGACTCCTATCCCCCTGCAACATCAAATCGACCTCCCCAAAAAACACACCACCAAACCCATTTCTTTTATCCTTTATTTCTCAGATTTCCATTTCCATTTGTTTCTCTAGCTGCAATAATAATGGATGTGACAGAAATATCAGCGACAAAGGGGAACAAATGGAACGTGACGGAAAAGGTTAAATTTTGTCATTTGAGCAGGATCTGGCGATCACAGTGTCCGGCAAGAAGCACGACCACAAGAAAATACAGGGATTTTCTTCCAGGGATGGGTTGCAGTGTTTCAGCCCATGAGAGTTACAGGGTGAGGGATTCCTCCCAGGCTGGAACGCGACCATGAACAGGATTCAAGCAGCCCTGTTCCAGCTGCTCCGAGAGATCCACAGCGCCTTTCACTCCGTCCCACCGCCTCCGAGCTCCTGCGCGAGCAGATCCCGCTGGCTGTTCACCCGTTTCCCTCTCTGGGCTGTCTGGGCGGCGGGCGGGACGGCATTGCGCGGGCATGGCCGGGAGCAGGCCGGCCTGGAGCGGAGCCGCAGCCCGAGCGCGGCCCGGAAGCCGCGGCGGAAGCTCCGCTTGCAGAGGCCGTAGATGAGGGGGTTGGTGCTGCTGTTGGAGAAGGCCAGCCAGTGAGCCAAGGGGTAGAGGTAGGTGTGGATCAGCTGCAGCTGGACGTCCGAGAGGCTGGCGTAGTCCGACAGCAGCATCAGGGTCCACAGGGGAAGCCAGGACAGGGCGAAGAGCAGAGTGACAAGGACGAGCATCTGGGTGGCCTTTCGCTTCCTCTTCCACGCGCCGCGCCGCCGCTCCCGGCCGCGCTTCCCGGGCCCGGCGGCGCGGGAGAGGGAGAGGCCGATCCTGGCGTACATGAGCGCGATGAGCGACAGCGGAGCCAGGTAGACGTTGGCAAAGAGGACCGCGGTGTAGATCCTCCTCATGGCCGGCTCCGGCCACTCCTCCCGGCACCAGCAGAGCGGGCGGGTGGCGCTGCCCGCGCCCAGGAGCACGCGGAAGCGCTTCTCCTCCCGCACCCGCAGCAGCACGGCCGAGGGACACATGATGGCCACGGCCAGCAGCCAGATGGCCGCGATGGTGGCCACGGCGGCGGGGACGCTCAGCTTCTGCTTGAAGGGATGAACGATGCACCGGAACCTGCGGCACGGGCACCGGAGAAGCTGTGTGAGGAGCGCCTCCTTACCCGGGCCAGAATGCACACACATTTGGAACTGCCTGGTCTTCATCCTGCCTAACACCTCTGCTATCCAGCCTCATGGCTGAGGAACAAACCTGTAATTCCAGGGAATTGCAGCCCAGTTCCACCGTCTTTAAGAGACACCGCTGGAGGAGCAAATTGCTCTTTAGACCTGCCCACATTTTATTTTGCTCAGGAGCAAAATGCATCTGACTTACTGTGGCGTTGGGAGGGTTAATGAATGCGCTCAGGGGGCCAGGGGAGATGACACTGGTGGTTGCAGACCCTGCAGCATCTTACCTGTCCACGGCAATAGCAACCAGGGTGAAGACAGAGGCAGAAACAGAGATGCCTTGCACCATGCCGCTCATCTTGCACACCAGGCTCCCAAAGGGCCATCCTGGAAGGAAACAGGCAGTTGCAATTGCAGGACTCTGCTTAAAATCATTCGCTCCCATCCTCCATTTCCTGAGTAGAGCTACAGACTCATAGGGTGGTGTGGATGGAAGGGAAGGTCATGGGGCTCCAGCCGTGGCCAGGGACACCTTCCACTGACCCCCAACGCCCTGGACACGTGCTCCTGTCTCCCCCCAGCCCACGGGCAGCCAGCCCACCTGCAATGATGTTGTCCAGGAGGGTGGTGGGCATGCAGAAGAGCCCCACCAGCAGGTCACTGACGGCCAGGTTCAGGATGAACAGGTTGGTGACCGTGCGCATGTGCCTGCTCCACAGGATGATGAAACAAACCCCGCCGTTGCCCACCAGGCAGAGGAGGAAGATGAGGAGGTAGGAGGTGATGAAGACAGCAGCCACCCAAGGCTGGTGGAGGTAGAAGCCCACGTAGGAGACATTTCCTTCCAAGTAAAGGTACTCGTACGTCCCGTTGTAATCCAGCAAATCCAAGTGAGGCCAGCCCCACGAAGAGTTTGAGTCCATCCTCCTCCTTGTGCCCTAAAAGATATTTGTAAAGGGGCCATTTTAGTCTGCTTGCAATTGAGCTGAAGGAATGTGATGATATTATTATTATTATTGTCATTATTATATTAGCATTGTTATCTGCTTCGGGTGCACTGTGTGCTGAAATAAGCATAAAACTCACGTGCACTCTGGCAGCAGGGAGGTGGCTGAGCAACAATCACTGAAAAGCCACTAACCCCAGCACTGAAAAACAGGGATTAAAGCATTCTCAACTGGCACAGGCCTTCTGCCTTCTGCACGTACCCAAATGCAGCCCAAATTTCATGAACATGAGATGGTTTTCTGTGCAGTTGGATGATTTAATTCTCTGCTCACAAGCTACCTAGCAGCAAGCCTGCAATCAAGAAGGACCACACTGTGTCTGAAACATGCTGAGCTACAAGAGAGCTGGGTTCATTTCCAGGCAGTTAACTTGACTTGCAGGCAGCATTCCAAACCTTTTTCCACACACATTTTGTCTCCCAGATGAGGATGCCTAAAGAAGCAGGGACAAAATTAATTGGTGGCAGCAGGCATGAAATTAAAGTATGAGCGCAGGTGCTTTTAGGATGCTTCAAATTGCTTAAGAGAAATGGAATTTAAATTTAGGCACAAGTTATCTGAATCCTGATGAGCTTGTATGAAAGCTCAGCAAAGCCTCTGCAAGTGCACTGGTGCTCTTGCACCCCAGCCTGGGCTCGAGATGGGGAACTCTAACAGAATGCAAGCACAGATATTTGATAACACCAGTTCACACTGTTCCTTTGATCCCAGACCTGGAGCTGGGCTTTAGAAATCCCAGGAGATGCTGTCTCGCCCCATCAAAAACCAGCATTCCTGCTGCTCCCTTTGCTGCTCTTCCCCACATTACTATTATTATTGTTATCATTATTACCCACTAATTTTCTTCCATAACCTTTTGGTTCCCAGAGGACTTGCTTTAGGGGGACACTGTGGCCAGGGGAAGGTGGCTTTTGGCTCCCACCACCTTCCCAGTCCCCATGCCCAGCTGTCCTCAGAGGAGCCTTTCCTTCCTTACCTGCTGGAGTTTGGCTTTTCAGGAGTCTCTGATGATCTGAGGCAGAAGTTCTTGCTCATGCCACGACAGGGCTGTCCCTTGTCACACTGAAAGCAGGAGGAATAATGGTTATTTTGGATACATGTTTTGTGCTTTCTCTCTGTTTCTGACACTGTGTTGTGAGGCAGCAGCTTCTAATCTCTTCAGTAATGATCTCTGGAATAGTTTTTGTCCATAGCTGGTAAACAAGAACTTGTAAACAGCCTTGAGGCAAAGCTGGAGCTGAGTCTCATCCCAGTTGCACTAATGAAATTTTGGCTGTGGCAGGCATAGGGAAGTGGCTGTACCAACGCTGCAGATGACAGGAAATGGAAAAGCTCCACGGATTTCTGTTATCCTGAAGCTGAGGGGGAGGAGGATTGGCTGCAAGGAGAAATTAAGCCAGTGCCTGGTGTTTTCACAGGGGCCTTGCCTGCCCAAACAAGCAGTGATAAATAATTGAGAGAGGCACAGAGAACAGAAACATAAATCGTATAAGAAAAGGAAAAAAAATATGCAACACATAATTGTTGTAAGATGATAAATAACAGTAATTTGCTTCCACCTGGTAGCTTGATAAGAGCAAGGCCTCCCTCCTTCATTTAATACACCAGAGAAAATCTGCAAAGGAATAAAGTGGGAGGCTCCCTGAGTGAAAACCTGCCCCAACCCACACTGGGTTCCCAAACACAGGAGGCTCTGGGATCCCAGACACAGCCTCCATAGACAAATAGGCAGTGTAACACCTCACAGCCTGACCAGGACCATCTTGTACCTCTGGGCAGAGAAATTCAGTTTGCCATCGTTAGAGCAGCAGTTCCAAGCCATTGTGAAGTGATGCCATTATTTTTATGTTGGGCACGTGCAAAGAAATCCCCCGGAGCAGCCACCACTGCTGCACCCCTGTGCCCAACCCACTGGGTTTGTCATCTTGGTATCTTCATTTTTATGTGTGAAATACCCTCACAGGATCCTCTGAGGCTGAAACAAAAATAAGGAAACTTCAGAGGTGGGAAGAACAGCAGGGCATGTAGCTGTACATGAAGAACATTCAACGTGGTTAAGTGCTAAAAAATTCGTTCTTCCCTTGTCCTGAGCTCAGTAATAGCACAACAACAGCGTCTTCCCAGGGACCTTGGAAAATTATCCTGGTCTGCTGAAAAGTGAGAAAGTCCCAGGGCAAAACACAGCCCCTGAAGGAAGGCAAAAAGAACAGGACATTGGTCTGTGACTGCCTGGGAAATAAGGGAGAGAGAAATTTATGGATCTCCTTCTGCCTCGGGGTACCAGGAAGGGAACCACTGACTAAAAAACTGAAATGCTGTTCCACAGGGACCCCCATGGCAATCTGGGCTCAGCTGGGCTTCTCCTTCAGAGCAAGGGGGAGCTGCAGCCACCCCAAACCCCCCATTCCCAGTTCCACAGGGAGGTGTTTGGTCTGGCTTATGCAGAGCTTGAGCTGGGGACTCTGGGGATATTTGTGAATTAAGGTAATAGAACTTGCTCTTCAAGTACTTAACTTCTTCATCCATCAATACTTCCATGATATGACATACCTCAGAGTGGTTCATCTCCAAATCAGCCTGAATATCCCAGTAGATTTTCAGCTGGGAGGAAGGAGCTGTGGAAGAAAACACACCCCAAAAATAGACAGTTGCATTCAAATCAGTTTTCCTTACTGACATTTACTTTCATAAAGAAAAACAAGTGCACCTTGAGAAGCAAATTTCTCATTTTGAAATGGGCAATCCCAGGGAGCTGTGCCAATCTCGGAGCTGCATGTCCATCTCCTCTCAATGAGCTTAACCTGCTTATCCTCTCCTCAGAGCCATTCATCTGCACAGTCTGAGCTGGGGCCAAAGAAAATCGTTTGTAGGTATTTCTTTTAAAAAGAGCTCAAGCTGCAAATGATGGAGGACAAGGCTATCAGCAGGATGGCTGTGATAAACACCCGACTTAGCTGCAGATTAGTCATCCTCTGGAGCTGGGAATAGAAAACATTTCACCCCAAAGCCAAATCGTAAATGTAAATCGGGAGATGCAAATGGCAGGTGAGGCATTCACAGCAAATTTGTTATGGCTCTGTATTTTTTTTTAATATATATGTATGTTTATATATCATTTCCACCCTGCTTCATTAGAGCCAAGGCTGTTACCTATTCCTTGTCATTATAATCCTTTTTTTTTTACTTTGTGCTCAGCCAACCTTTAAGCTTCTAAATATATTTTTTTTTTTATTTGATGTGTCAGAGGCTGTTTTAAATCTTAACTAAAATCTCAGCCAACTGCTCCCTGGAATCAGGTTAAAGTCAGATTTCCACACTTATGCCACCACTTTATTGAGAAGCCTGGCAAGCAATAAGATTTTAGCTGCCTTACCTTGGAAGCAAGTCCCTGTTTCAAAAGCTTTCAGCAGGAAATCACTCAAGTTCTCCTGAGATCCAGTCTCCAAGTAGCAGTTTCCCATCCATCACTGGAAACTGGGCAGGGACCCCACGAAATATCTGGACTGGCCACAGCTTTTTCCCTGGAGAGATGCTTCAGCAGCTCAGCAGTGAATGCTGGGCTTTAGCCTATAGGAAGAGCTAAATCAATGATCCACTAAATCCCCCACAAATGGGACACGAGCCTCCTAAACTGCACCTTTCAGTTCAGCCTCTGCTCGTGAGTCACCCCCTGACAGCCCTGAAACTGAGGCACTGAAACTGAGGAGAGTGACTGGGGAGCAGGTAGAAAGAGGTGGGAAAAAAACCCCTGAAAAGTGGGACAATCATGAGGTAGTGTCAGTGGAGGATGGAACTGGCAAACAAAAGAAGTGTTTTAGGAGCCCGTCACGCAGGGCTAATTCACCAGGCACAGGCTGTGCCAGCAGGCAGTTTATGTCCCCCCCAAAAAAGGGGGGCACAGGGGATCCTGTCATCACTGCCAGGTGAAAGACCAGGAAAAAAAAAAAAAACAATCCCAGCGCACAGAGCACATCACAAGGGTTCTTTGCACACAGAACTGTTTGATTTCCATCTCTTTCAGCACAGAAGTGCCATTGCCCCCCGTGAGACGCAGGCATGAGAGCAGACATCACGAGCCTGTCACAACAAAGAGCATTTTATCCCCCCACCCAAGCTCCTGGGATGCAGAATATTGGATTGTGCCCCACTGGAAAGTGGGCAGAGCAGCCTGCCTGGCCCAAGGGCAGAAGAGGTGAGCTCCCTGTGCAGCACGGGGGGGGTGGATCCTGGGCACTCCACCACAGCCCCATGCCGGATTTGCCCAGAGGCAATGCCTTTGGTCCTAAATAACTGCGCAGGAGAAGTGGCTGTGAAGGTGACAGCAGAGGTTTAAATGCAGTGTCACCTCTCCGGAAGGATGATGGCTGTAGAAGGGCTGAACTCTCCCTGTACCTTCCTACCTTTTGACTCGTCCCTTTTACATCACCATCCACACCCACACAGGGACTTTAGGTACTCAATAATTTTATTTTTTTTCCCTGTGACCTGCTCTGAGGATTTGAATCCTTTTGGTGCTCTTGAATTTCCATTTGCTGCTGCCTCAGTAACTCGATTTTAATAAACACCAAATCCTAAGCCTTACCTGGATAGCACGGATAGGTACCTCTGATTGATGTCAGGAATTTGACATGCTGGGAGGTTACCTCGGAAACCTCCTGGTCTGACTCCAGCTGAAGCCAATTCTGCTCAGTAAATGACAGCTGCAACCCACAGCAAGGACTGCAAGTTTTCCTTGCTAGGATTTTCTTTTGGAAAAAAACCAGCAGCACAGGTCCATTCTTTTGGGATAAGGTGCCATCTTACCTGCCAGCCTCAGGAAATGCTCAGAGTTACACTTTTTTACACCCCTTTTCCCAGTAAAACACCCCAAACTGATCTCACTGCATTTTAGACTTTCCCAGCCACCAGGTCCCTGTTATCCCCAGTGCCGTGCCCCCCCTGCCAGCCAGGACACCTGCAGGCAGTGGAAGCAGCACCCCAGCTCTCTCACACACAGAACTCACAGTTACCCATGCAGGTGCCACCCCTGACACCCCCATCCATGACAGTCCAGATTCCCTCGGAGATCCAAGTGCTCCCAGCACAGTGGCACCTCCTGGACTCTGCTCCTACCTGCTCGGCTCCAGAATTTAGGTCCAGGCTCTCCAGCGATTCCAGCTTTTACATCAGGAACTGGAGGGGAAAAATTAGCCTGTGTGGCCCTGGTGAAACCAGGTGGCTCCTGTAGCTGAAATGTCAGGTTCTGCCTTACCTGCCTCTGCATCAGGTTTTTCTGGAAAGAAAAACAGCATCCCAAGGAGAGATTCTAGGAGAACAGGCTTCCAATTAATGATTTCATGGATCTAAACCAACATGAATCCAACATTTCATGAATCTAAACCAACAAATTCTTTTCCAGCACAACTCAGCGTGGATCTATAACAACTCTGTATGGAATCCTCACGTGCTGCAAATGGAGGCTGAGAAGCTCCAGCCACACACAGGCATTGCAGTGAGGGCAGTTTTGCCCTGTGTGACGCAGCAGATGGAATTCCAGAATCCAGGAGGTTGCCTAAAAAGGCACAGACAGAGAAACCTCTGGCCAAGAGAGCATCCTGAAGGCCTTGCATCCAGCTAAGAGGCCCACATTCACAATCCCTCTGCCTGGAAGCCCAAAAGCTGGCGAGTTCCCTTAGGAACCCAGAGAGCTTCAGGTGGAGAGGTGTTACTCGCGGAAGCAACAACACAACCACAACGCAGGGAATTGAGATTTGCAGGGAATCGCTTTCTGCTTCCCCCATACCCCGTGGAACGTCAGCGCGGAATCTTCATTTCTTGCAGAGTATTGTTCTTTTAGTTTTAAAAGCGGCTCCACGAGCGGCAGAGCCGATCCGTGTCCCAGGACACTTCCATCCCTTTTAAAGGCCGGCGGCACCATCTACTGGGAGCAGGAGGAAGGACACGATGCGAAATAAACGCGAGGAGAGCTCATGGAACCGTCCGTGGAGCCCCAGAACGGTCTGGTCTGGTTTGGACCTCAAGGGTCATCCAGTGCCACCTCGGAGCCTGGTCAGGATGAGCTGCTGTCCATCGGCCCCTGGGTGCAGATGGATATGGAAGTGATGGAGGTGCTCAGGAAATGCTGGTTGTTTTACCCTGTGCTGGCTAATTAAAAAGACTAATTGATCTTTTCCAACAGGGAAGCATATAAGCAAGAGATGCCAAAAAAAGCTGGAGTTCCTGTGAATGAAATCTGCAGTATTCGATTTAAAATCCCCCTGGATGGTCACTGGTTTGACTTCCACAGACTGCTCACACTGCCCAGCTGTGTCCAGTTCTGCTGTCAACGCTTTTGTCCGTGGTGTAATTTATATTTTTCCTTGCAAAGAGCATTTGGGTGATAGAGGGGCATGGAGGGGAAAGGAAGGGGAGTGACTGCAGAGGCACAAATGTCCCAGGCCCGCCCCACTGCTCCGCTCCCGGGTCCCGCCGTGTCTCACAGCCTGGGGTCCACCCTGAGCCCCAAAATGCAGGATTTGGGCTCTCTGACCAAAGCCCTGAAGTGCCTGTATGAGCACTCCCCAGACAGGGCTGGAGTCTGTTCCACAGCCCTGAGACTGCCCGGTGCCAACTCCAAGTGCCAACAACGCGGGACTTGCCTCATTTCTGAGCCAAAGAAAATGCCTGATTTATTTATTACAGGGTCCTAAAACTGGTCAAACGAGCCTGGTGCCCCCCAAACACAGGCCTCGGTCCCTATTTCCAGGACATCAAGGTGCCTGGCCCAGGCTCACTGTGGGACACCCCGATCTGATCCCCAAAACCCCACACAACCTCTTCTTTCCCAGCTGAGTCTGAGCTTCCAGCTGCTGGAAATGAGGCTGGAAACAGGGAATTTGTTCCCTGAACCCCACAGCCTGGACTCCCCCTGTGATGTCAGGACAGGCTGGAGAGCCAGTGGTGTTGGGACATGAGACAAAGAGGAGGATGGAGCCCATCCAGAGTACCCCAGCGCCCACGAACACCCCAAGGACTCCACTGTCCTGCCCCTCTCTGCTGCTCCCCGCCCAGCCCCAGTGCAGGGGTTGCAGAGGAGGAGCCTGGCCACTGCCAGCCTTCTCCCAAACCACACCCACGGCCCGTGCCAGCACCCTGCACGGCTGGCAGACAGGCACCAGAGAGCAAAAGGCAGAGACTGGCCAGCATCAAAGTGTTTACTTCCCACTGCACAGCAAGCCACAGCCACCTTACAGACACACCCTGCAGGCACCCGCCCAGCAGAAAGGCACTTTGGAAAACACGGGAAACAGTTTCATGCCACCCCCGGGGCGTGGGTGCCCGCAGGCTCAGCGCAGTGTCACCAGCTCCTCGGCAGAAGTGGGGTGAATGGCAACGGTGTTGTCCAGGTCGGCCTTGGTGGCGCCCATTTTGATGGCCACGGCAAAGCCCTGCAGCATCTCGTCACAGCCCAGCCCTTGCATGTGCAATCCCACCACCTTTGGGGAAGAAGGGAGAGGCCAGGTGGGAGCCAGAATCCAGGGTCTGGATCCCAGCCCAAGAGTGGGCACACGAGGACAGCCGGCCGTGTCCCCCACTCACCTTCTCCTCCCTGCCAGCGCACACCAGCTTCATGACACACTTCACCTTCCTCTGGGTGACAGCGTGGTACAAGGGCGTGAAGGACGTGTTGTAGATCTTCACGTTGTCCTTCCCATGCGTGGCCACGGCCTCCTCTGCAGCAGAAGCCACGGAACAGGGGTCAGAGGGATGCCCACGGGCCATTCAAAAAGAGCAGCCAAAGCCCTTTTGTCAAGGCTCACTTGCAGCAGCTCCGAGCCAGCGTCCCCAGCCCCTTTGCCCCCTCTGTCCCCACCTTCAGTGAGCCCCACGGTGCCGATGGGCGGGTGGCTGAAGACGACCGTGGGGATGTTCTCGTAGTCCAGCCGGGAGTCCTGCTTGCCCTCGAAGAGCCTGTGGGCCAGCTTCCTGCCAGCCGCGATGGCCACTGCGGGAGGGACAGGGCGCCTGAGCCACGGGGCACCGCGGGGCCCTGCAGCGCAGGGGGCACGGCTGCGGTACCTGGCGTGAGGAGGGCTCTGCCACAGACATCCCCCACGGCATAGATCCCTCTCCTGGTGGTGTTCTGGTACTCATCCACAAGCACGTGGCCCTTGGGGTCCACCCGCACGCCCTGCCGTGGGACACAGCAGCCACATGTGCTCCAGCAGGGATGGGAGGGCTCACGGGGCACCTGTGACAGGCTCTGGAGAGCCAAGGGAACCCCAAACACCCGCGGGACACCCAGAGACCCGGGGCGTCCCCCCAGCAGCACGGAGGGCACGCGCTGCCATCTCACCACTCGGTCCAGGCCCAGCCCGTCGGAGCTGGGCTCCCGCCCCACGGCCCACAGCAGGCAGTCCACGTCCCGGATCACCTCCTCCCTCGGCTTGTGGCCGGGTGCCACCGAGGCCACTGTCACCTCCAGCAGCCCCCGTGGAGACTTGGTGACCTTTTTGACCTAAGGGGAACAGGAGCAGCAGGAGAAGGTGCAGATGGCTTTTGCCTTGCAGCAGGCGACGGCAGCCATGCTGCAGAAGCAGGGATGTTGCCAAAACAACGGCTCAGCAAGCAGCACCCAAAACAGCAGCTTTCCCCCAGCCCTGCCTCTGCGGGAGGGACGGGACAAGCCACGGGGCTGCTCTGTGCTTTCCCACCTGTGTGTGCTTCCAGACATCCACCCCCGTGTTCTCCAGCTCCTGGGTGCAGTTGGAGCTGATCAGGGAGTCAAAGGTCCGCAGCACCTGGGCAAGGATCCCCCCAGCCCTGTCACAGGAGGGTCTGCAGGCAAAGGCACCACCTGGCAGCCCCTCCACCCGGCATTTCCCTGCTCCTGGAACCCAAGAGGTTTGGGGTGCTTCTGGTTAACAAACTTCTCTGTTTCTCCACTATTTTCTTTTCCTTTCTTCCCCTTTTCAAGTCGTGACTTGAAATAAAGCTCGAGGGGACGGATGCGGTGACACGCATGGCTGCACAAACGCCAGGCACGTGGGTGGGTGCTGCTAAAACGTGTCCCCCCTTCCTCCCCATGGCTCCCATGCCACCATCCCCTGCATCACTGCTCCCGTGCCAACTCAGACCCTCCTTCAGTGGGCGCTGACAGCCAGAAATCACTCTGACCACCGGGGCTGGGGTGTGGCAGCGGGGCGGGAAGCGCAGCTGGGGACAGGGGCTGGCACTACCTTGTCGTGGCGGATGAGCAGGGAGGACTTGGAGCCCAGCGTGGAGAGGATCCCCACCATCTCCACCGCGATGTAGCCGGCCCCCACAACGACGCTGCGCCTGCGGAGAAGCGGCAATGCCGTGTGCAGCCACCCGGGGCTGGCGCCGGGGGCTGCGGGGGATGGATCCCACTTCACCTGGGCAGCTCCTCCAGGTCAAAGAAGCCGTCACTGGTCATCCCCAGACTGGCACCTGCAAAGCAGAGATGCTTTCGCACCCTTCAGCTGTCCCCCTTCCCCTCCCAAAGCCTGCTTTGCTCGGGCAGACCTCTGCCAGCCTGGGAGCCCGGGGGATTTCACCAGGCTCACCAGGAATTTCGCTGTCGGCAGGCACGGCCGGGCGCCCTCCCGTGGCTATCAGGATGTGAGGAGCCGTGTACTTCTTCCCATTTACTGCGATGGTTGGCTCGGGATCAGCGGTGAACTTGCCATAGCCCCGGATGATGTCAATGTGAGCCTGAGGGGTAACAGTTCTGGGGTTAACAGCGGGATCAGGAGACAGCTAATGGAGGAGCCAGGGCTTCCACGGCCGGAGGACACCCATTAGGGCTGGAACAGTGCCCAAAAATCCATCCCTTCTGCCACTGGGATTAAAGGATCAGCACATCCCACGCTCACCTTCTTCACATTGTTCTCGTAGATGTCATTGAGGCGCCGCACGTACGCGTCACGCTTCTCCTTGATGGTCCTGGAACAGAGCAGGGAGTGCCATCACTGCCCAGGAAAAAACCTCGCACTCAGTGCCATGCTCCAGTTCGCAGGGTGGTGGTCGGGCAGAGGCTGGACTCGATGATCTCAGAGGGGTCTTTTCCAACCTTAATGATTCCAAGATTCTGTGAACTCAACCCCTCTGGCACGTGGCAGCCATGCCACAAAATAAAACAGCTCCCTGGGACTCTTTGCCCACCAAAGCAAGATTTCTGTGTCCGCCTTCCCTGTGTTTGACTTTTCCAGAGCCTCTTCCCACAGCCAGGCTCCCACTCCCTGGTCTCCAGAACACAGCTGGCCCTGTAAGCAGCTCTGCACAACCCACGGGAGCCTGGAAGCAGGCAGGGATCCCTGGGAAGTGGACAGAGAGCTGTTGCCTGTGGGACACTCACTGGAAGATGCCGGTTCCCAACTGGTTCCCGTTCTTACCTCCAGTTGAACTTGACCCCCGCAGTTTCAAAGCCATAGTCAGCGTGATCGTGGACAAACTCCGCGTGGACCGCCGTGTTCCACATCACCTGCCCAGGCAAACCCCAGGCTGGCTCAGCAACACTGCTGTCATTCTGGGAAAACCCCTGCCAGCCTTCCTGACTGCTCACCTCTGCCTGGAGCGCCCACGGCACCAACCCGCTGCGAGGCCCTGCCTCCTCCCCACACCCCGTGCCAGCACCTCGCTAAAACTTGGCAGGCAGCCACACCAGAGCCAGCCCACGCCACCCGAGGCGGTGGCAGAACAGCCTCACCTTCTTTGGCACACATCCAACATTGACCTGCAGGGAATAAGAACAAGTCTCAGTGTCAAGGCCCAGTTCTCCCAAGGCAGTGCTCCAGAGAGCATCCCTCATCGGGCTGGCATTGCATCCCAGCCCTCTGCTCAGGAAAACAAAGGCAGGATTAGGGGCTCCTGGAAAAAGAGGGGTGTAACCACCCCGGGAGGCTCAAGGTCTTGCGGTTTGCCCGTTTTCCTTCACTTCCTTGAAAGAGAATATGGGAGGTGGAGCCTTCAAACACAGGGGTTTTTTCCACTGATACTCTAAAAATTATTTAGTAGCACAAAGGTGTTTGCCATCCCTTGCCTGCACTTCTGGGAATATGGTAATTTTCCCTGTAGAATGCATTTAGGGCATAAAATTAGAGCCTGGCCCTGGCTTGTCTGCGGAACCAATTTGTTTTTTTGGCTCATTACCAGCTCACCACGCTCTTGAGTTCTGCTTTACCGCCTTGCAGTTGTGCTACACATATCCAGGATCCATCGGCGCCCCGTCACCTGCCTGAAAACGGCTTGGAAACGGCCAGGAAGAAACCGGCGCAGACGGGGCATTGGGATCCGTCCTGCTTCAGCCCGCCAAGGCAGGTCCTCGCACAACGCTCGGCCACCGGGAGCGCGATTCCTCCTCTCGCACCTCCCGCACCGCCACCCTCCCCGAGTGACCGGGGCCAGCGAGGGGCCCCGCGTCCCTCCCGCCCCGGCCGCGGGCCCCCCCGCGGGAGACTCACGCAGGTGCCGCCGAGGCGCTGCGGCTCCACCAGCGCCACCCGCGCTCCGAGCTCGGCCGCCCGGCGGGCCCGCCCCGCCCCGGCCCGCCCCCGGCCCGCCCCGGGCCCGCCCGGCCCTGCACGACACCACGTGTTGGGGCTGACAACGGCGAGTTTATTGGTTCAGGTACAGCGAGGAGGATTGCAAGCACTTCCAGGACGAATATACAGAGGGCAAGGGGGGGATAACAAAAGAGAAAACAAAATAAACAAAATACCCCAAAACAATTCAAAAAAAAAGGGGGGGGGGTGCAGGATCAGCACGGAACAGGAATAGAGCTAAAAAGGGAACGCTTTTATCTGGGTTATGACAACGTACTCCCAAGCAGGAATCACTTCCTTTCTCCAGTTAAGTTGAGCGGTCTTTCCAATAAAATAAAGAGTGATGGGGGATGAAGTTAGTGTGCACTTCCCTGGAAAACAAACTCTAATTCATGCCAGTTAAACACTAGAACTAAAAATGTACAAAGAAGCGTCAGAGGAGATGAGTGTTGTTAAAGTGTTACCTTTTCCTCTCTGAACAGTCCAGAAGGAAAACAATGACTACAAATACAGCAGGCAAACTGACTTTCGGGCTGATGGGCATGGGACAGAGAGAGTGTCGTAAGGAATTCAGTCTCAAGTTGTGCTAAATGCTCTTCGTCCTCTGTATGGCACATTTTGGTCCATGATGGGGATTTGAGTTGAGACGAACCCTGATTTCTTACAGAAACGTGTAAATATTGTTGCTCTTTTAAAATGCCAGGTGTACTTCCTTCTACAAAGGCTGGGAGAGGTTTATAGGAAGTAGTCTGGGGTACGACGGGTAACATGAGGCTCTCCACGACGAGGTGCTGGGTCAAACTGGAGGCTGCAGGAAAGAAAAACGGATCCCTTACCCTCCTCCACAAGTCATCTTCCATTGCCACGATAAACACCAGGCTGCTTCTCCTGCTGCTAGCGCACAACAAACATTCCAAGCCCCAAAAGAAGAACTCACGGGAGTTAAAACTCATCAGAGTGACCCAGCAGCCCCTCACCGCTTTCTCATGGGAGCAGCTGAAAGCACAATTCAGGCCCTCCCCCTATCTTACAAAGCTCAGTGCTACCAAAGGTGAAAACAAATAGATAAATCCATGTGTTTTTACTCTCTCCATCAAGCTCAGGCAATAAAGAGATCAAAGTGCAAAAGCTCCAACTCTCCAGACAGCCAGGAAGATGAGCTTTTAGGAGCTTAACTTCACTGCTTATTTTAAGAACACACATTAACTCCAGAGTGGCCTGAGCTGGCTTTTCATGGAAGAACCCCTTTGGGAATGATCAGCCACTCCTCCCAGAGTGGCTAGAAAGAGAGCCCAGCCCAAGGCAGCATACTCACAAGGAATATTTTAAAGTGTCATCTAGTTCCATGATAGCAGCCTGGTTCCCACAGCGGTAGCAGTAATTGGGGGCACTGAAGATGGTAACCACATTCCGGTCGTGGCACCAGTTATAACCCTGCCAGGGACACAGAGAGGAAAAAAAAAAGGTCTCTGTTAAACCTCAGCCCCTCCAAAGTTCCTCTTCGGGCCTGAAACTCTGAGGCACTTGTGAAACTGCAGATTTCCTCAAGTATTTCCAACTGACTTAGTTTCGTTTCAAAGTGCGTGCTTTACCACCAGAAGCAGCAGCAGGTACCTGGCAAAACCAGCTTCGAGCAGCCTACAGGAGATCATCCACTCCCCACTTGTAAATTATGCACTGTACCACTAAAAAGCCTTGGGATTTTTAGGGATGCCTTCAGCTTTCCTCCACCACAAGTGACAATTTGCCTGCTGAATGCCAGTGACTTCTGACACACGGTTCTGCTCAAGGGAGCTACCTGCACTAGATTTCAAAAAGGCATCTGCTCCATTGACCCACCTGGCATTTTTCCAGCAAGACATCCAAGAATAGCCCGTCAGCCAAAAATGGCATAATCCCCATCACATCTGACTGCAGAGCACCATGGGACAGGCAGCAGCAGCCAGAGCAAGAACAAGCCAGCACCTAAGAAGATTACTCCTGCCACAAACGGGGCGTGACACGGCCCCTTTGGCAATTTACTCAGAGGAGGAAATGTGCTTGGAAAGGCCAGAACATCCCCTCATTTAGGCTGCAGGTCAAAGCACCTCACTCGATCTCGTTCCTTTCACGTGACTACAGCCTCTCTTTGGTACTGACCCGTGTAAGATTTGGGTGCCAACAAACCTGTGAGTGGCAGGTGTCCCAGAGGAGACCCCTGCTTCGCTAGCCCTGGCCAGCAGGGTGCTTGCCCTACCTCCATGACCAGCTGGTGGGCGCGGGAGACCAGCGTGAGCCCGTTGGCGTGGTTGAAGGTTTCGGAAATGTCCTGCCCGAAGGTGTAGCCAGCACCACGTGGAGAAATGCCCCAGCCGCCGCGGTCGTCCGGATCCGACCACAACAGATCACACATCGGACCCTTGGCAAACATCAGGAGCTCTGTTACATCACTGCCAAGGTGCTTCGACACGTTTTATTTACAGCAGCAAGACTGCCAGCACGTCCTGCCCGCTGCCAGGCACGCGAGGAGTTTACTGAGCACACATCTGCAACCCAGCCACTCCCAACACCACGTGCAGCTGCCCAGGGAGCTCCAAGTGCAGATTTCAGCCCAGGTTTCAGGCCCCAGGAAGCTGCACCATAGGAGGGAGGCTGGGCTGGCTGGGGAGGAAGGATGGTGATACAGTGTGGCTTTACATGGTGGTTTTAAGTTCACAACCACATCTGAAGATAGTAAACACCCTCCCCTGCCAAACCCTGCTCTTTGAGTCAGACTGAAAGCCCAAAAATCCCACAATTCTGGGGAAAACAGCTGTGAAACCCCCACAGCCCTCCTCACGTAGGCTGCTGTAATCAAAGCACACTGACTTATGTGTGCTTTGTCCAAATGTTCATCTGCTCTAGCTCCTGGAAAGGCCATAATCCATGTGTAACCTCGTGTTTAAATGGACTGCAATGTGAGAAAACATTGGCATTTTCCACCAGCAGATATTTAAGTTTCTGATGCATTTATTTTCCTACCTCGTGTGGAACTTCCTGCAGGCGGTCCAGAGCCCTGATATGATCCAGTGTATCTATGGATGGAGAGAGGCCACCATGGAGGCAGAATATCTGTTCCAGAAAGAAAAGAGCAATCCATTAAGCGGCAGGAATGATCTCCAAACCAGCTGGGTCTAACTCTGTTAACGCTCATGCACAACCCCAGCCACCTCACCCGGGATCACAAGTCACAGCAGCTTGTCTGGGACTGTTCCTCCGGATGTCAGGCAACACAGCCTGCAGAAATCCACGGAAGGGAGGCCTTTCCTCATCCCAGACTCACCTGGCCGTCTACCAGAGCTGTGAGAGGCAGGTAATCGAACAGGTCTGTGAAGTACTTCCAGACGTTGGCGTTGCCGTACTTGCGCAGGCACTCGTCGTAGAAGCCGTAGACCTGTGTGATCTGCCGGCTCTCGTGGTTGCCCCTCAGGATGGTGATGCGCTCCGGGTACCGCACCTGGGGGCACACAACGCGTCCTCAGCACGGAAACAGGGAGTGCTGGAGTGCCACCAGCACTGCCAAGCACTCTGCTCCCAGCACTGGCCGCTGACACGGATCCATTTACCCCGACTATGCCCCAGCCAACAGCAGCGTCACCGGGAGGAGAAAATGGCTCCCAGCTCCCAGGTTTTATCCCCAGTCTCCCAAGCCGTACCTTCAACGCCACCAGCAGAGTCACTGTCTCCACAGAGTAATAGCCTCTGTCCACGTAGTCTCCCATGAACAGGTAGTTTGTGTCTGGAGACTTGCCACCGATCCTGAAGAGCTCCATAAGGTCGTGGAACTGCCCGTGGACATCGCCGCAGACAGTGACGGGGCAGCGTACCTCTTGCACATTGGATTCCTTGGTTAGGATCTCTTTAGCCTGGCAAGGAAAGCACATTTAGGACACAAAGACAGGAAGCTCCTCCAGAGGCAGGTGATGTTACTCGGCTGCATTCCCACTGGAAACCCCGTTTCACCCCCGCTGCCCAAGCTGACCACTGGGAAAACAGTTTGGTGGGTGAGCACGGACAAGGGGTGTTTCCCAAATCCCAGTGCCTGGGGATGAGCAGGTTTACTACAGCCAGGCCAGATGCCCTTGCTCAGGGCACACTTCACCCCCCAGAATTCCAATCCTCTTCCAAGCACAACTTCTACGAGCGAGTCACATGCAACTGGAAAGCAAAGACAGAGGCAATTGGAACATATGGAGCCACAACCGGCTTCCCTGGCTGCACCCAGCTGGCAACAAAACCACCACAGATGGAGGGATGGCATCCCTGGATTTAGTCATCTCTTCTTCCACACCCAGCAGCTCCTCTGCTAATTACAACATGCAGTGTAGCCTATCTGCACCACCTTATTATCCTTATCAAATACCAGGTTTGTTGTGCTGCCTGCAGCTCACTGACTGATGCTGATCGCGCTCCTGGCACATCTGAGGCACAGGGAACACCCACAGCATGGCTCCATCTGATCCAAACAAAAGGGCTGGAAGATCACCAACACTGAGCAGCCACCAGCAGGTGATGATCTGGGTATTCCCTGCCATATCCCTTAGCTCAGGAGGAGCTAAGGCTCACCCTGTGCTGCCAGAAGGGAGCTGCTTCCCAAGGATACCCTCTGAGGACGCCTGCATTCCCATTCCAATGTCTGCTGCCTTGCCTCTTTTAGGAAAGACGTGTATTTGGAAGGAATAGCAGTTTGGACAGTCTGGACAGCATCCAGCATGCTCTCTGCACAGAGCCTCACCTGAGGGATCCCTGAAGGCACATCCTGCCCCTGGACCCAACGAGATGGGCTCTGCCTTGCACTTGTGGCACACCTGGGAACTGCTGAACACGCTGTGAGTGCAGTAGTAGCACTCAAATTCTGCTCGCACGTCTTTAAAAGCATTTACAGCGCCTTCGGAGAGCTCCCACCCTCTGGGAGAGACAAATATAAACCCACAAAACAGCTGCTCCCCGTGCTCTGGCTGCTGCACAAAGCAACAGGCAGGGGTTTGTTCCAAGCTGGAGCTCTGCAGGGCTCCTTCTCCACAGGAACAGGGCAAACAGGCTCCCTTTAAAGCTGCCCCAGGAACTGAAATGTCCGTGCCAGGAGGATCCAGAAGTTTCCCCTGACGAGGAGGGAGGAGCTGGCAGGTGACAGGAGCAGCTCCTTGCTGCCCTGCAGCCCGTTTTAGCTCAGCCTGTGGACGCTCATGGGTGCACGTGGACACATCCAGGCTGTCACTTGAACTCTGCAGAGCTGGTTTACATCGGGCTCGGGAGCCCCAGTGTGCCCTCACGTGATCATTTTCCAATGCAGAACAAGACTCTCAAAATGCTCAGCATCAATAAAAACACCCCAGAAAAGCAGTGACTAACCAGTGCATCTGCCTGCAGTGTGAGCACTGAAATCAAATGACTTAAAATAAAAAGCACTATTACAATGCAAAAATAAAAACCTCTGATGCAAGCAGGCTGCCTGGCATCATCAGCACTTACTTAATACAGGAGGCTAATAAATAACTATGACTGAGAAGTCAAAATTTAGCTACCTTTGTTGCAGACAACAGTGACTAATGGTATCAGCTTCCTGTGCATCTGTCCCACTTGCGCTGGATGAAAACCA